ATTATAAAACAATTTAAGAGCTTTAATTGATAATTTCTCCCTCAGAAAAATAATTACAGAGTATAAGCATTAATGAGTTCTCTTTACTTATGTTTATGTAGCATTCTAATAGCACTGTTATTCTATTTTAAATAAACGTAACCTGGTTTTAAGTATTTTGTTTTTACTTTACTATACTTCATGTATTTAAAAGAAATTATAAATGATGTTCCTCGACCATTTTTAAATGTCGTTCTACAATCCATGATAAATCTAACAAACTCCTGTTTTTATCCCTTAAATTAAACGTTCTGAATTCTAAACAAGCGCAACTCGATTTATTTCATCTACAGAGTGTTATCCCATTTTTTTTCGCAACAAATTCAGTTTCTTAGCCCTATTTTTCTGGCTTCGTTTCATCTTTAAAAGCAGGATAATTTATTATTCGTTTATTTTGCAATCCCTGTTCTACATTTTTAGATTAACTCATTTCTTCTCAAAATTTTTCTTTCTTATATGCAAAACATTATTTGGTTTTATAAAACAGCGACTCTAAGCCAATCCATTAATGCCAGATATTCCACATCCTTGCAGCAATGAAAAGGTCCTGAACTTACTTTTAAATTACGTAGATATATTTTTTTTTGTTAGCTACCTCTCTTGTTTAAGATACATTAAAAAAATATCCTGATTGCGAATCCAAATATAGTTTTTCTTTATATTTCGATTGATACGCAAAACTTTTTTTCTTAATAAATGCTAAAAATGGAAAATAATAATATTAATCAAAAGATAAATTAAAATAATTTTAATTACTAATGCGTTTTTAACAACTACGTTTAAAATATTGAAAGAATTGGCTTCATTTAATTAGGAATTGGTGTTATTTAAGAACATATTCGACCGAAAAAAGTGCGCAACGTGTTTTTAAACGATTTATTTTCCGAATCAGCAATTCGTTTATGTTCACAATATAATAATAATCAGAAAAAAATATTTAATTAAATTATTATTATTATTATTACTTTTTTTTGCTGTGAACCTTTGAAGCTATTTTGATTAATGAGTGTTTTACTTTATTTAAAAGAAACTTATTTTTAGTGATTTATTGGATTTTTATTTATTTATTTATTTACTTTTACATCTTCTCGGAACTTTCGAAAACAATTTGGATACCTACAAGTGCCAATTTAACAGCCAATCAGGTTTGACAAACACTCGTGACGTTTTTACAGATATCCAATTAAATCTGAATTAAATAACAAAGTTAAGCATCACTTCACTCTTTCTCAAGTTGTAAGTGCCCAATTAGGCTTCTTTATTTAGGAAGAAGTGTAATTTGAATATAGACTTTCGTCCTAGGGATTTAAATTGTCAGTTAAATCTAAAATTTGGAAATTTTCATTTCCAATATCAATTCATAAAGTTATAAGGCATTAAATTTCTTTTGATTAAGTGCTTATAAAAAATACAAATTCGTCATTAAAGAAATTCTACGTAGTTTTAATGTATATTTCACTGTGTCTTTTTAAACTGTTTACTTTTTTGTTATAGAATTAAGAAAGGGAAAATTTTAAGTAAAGAGTAATTCGATTCATTCATGTCTTAAGTGCTGGTAGTATTGATATTTCTTTATATGTAATTAAATGTTAATTAAAAAAACTTGAAAAATATTATTTTTTAAAATTAAAAATTTATTATCAAATAAAATAAATTACAATAAAAAGATTTTGGTGAGCGTTTCACTTAAAGCATATTCTAATACATCACGTTTTGACCCATTTACGAAAATAGTTTTTACTAAGTATTAAAAATAAAAGCAGTTTTTAAGAAAATAATATCACAAATAGATTTAGAGACTGAAAATGTAATATTACGAGATTCTAAAATTTGAATAAAGGAAACATTAAAAAATAATAAGAAGAATAAATCGCTTGAAATGTTACGTTTTCGATATGTTAGTCTAATTTGAATAAAATATTTTAAGTACTCATAAATATTTAGTTGAAAAGAATCGGCGAAGACATAAAACATGATCGTGATAGGAAATAAAAATTATGATGAATATAACTGGGTCGTCGAAAAAGAACAAAAATAGGTAAATTAGGAGGCCGAATTATTTTTATTTCCATAATATGATTTCAAAAATGCTTTGAATAAACAAGTTAAACTGTCTTACAAAATAAATATTTTATAATCAAGTACATATAAGAACTGCAATGGAACATTTCGGACTATAAAAGAAAGGACATAAAAATTGTTTTTAATGAAAATAATAACAATAGAGTACCATTTGATATTCCTTTCTTTATCCTGGAAACGCTAATGCGGACTTTAATAAGTTGTAAAATTTACTAACAAAGGCAAAATTATCATCCATTCATGAGGAAATTTTGAAGAGAAGATGTAGATGGACTTGGCATATCCTTCGTCTGAAGCGGAATAGCCCTGCTAACATCGTACTTACTTTGGCACCCGATGGAAAACGTAAAAGAGGAAGGCCAAGACTTACTTGGCAAAGATACATGAACCCGAGCAAAGCATATTTAAATGAATAAAAGAAGGCAAGAGGGCTGTCTCAGGACAGGGGTGCCTGGAAAAAAAGCTGGCCAGCTGGCGCGAAGAGATAGGTATAGATATTGATTGTAAAGAAACACTCCGGATTATAAAAAAAAGGACATAAAAATTGTTCTTCATAAAAATAATAATAATTAAGTACGATTTGATTTTCCTTCCTATTCATGGGTACGTTTATGCGAATTTTAATAAATTGTAAAATTTACTGTAGTAAAATAAATACACTAGGGGAACATAATGCTACCCATCTTGTTTTACTGCGGCGCCTTTCACTGTTTGCCAGACAATAAACTAGGGTAACGCAGTACCACCCACCTTTTTTTCAAATATTCTCCTGCTTGCTAGACAGTACACTAGGGCAACGTAGCACAGCCCATCTCTTATCAGCTCTTTTTCTGTTTCCTAGACAGTATTCTAGGGAAATGCGCCACCGCCCATCTTTTATCAGCTCTTCTCCTGTTTGCTAGACGGTACACTAGGGGAATACAGTACCCCCTATTTTGTTTTTCCCCACTAATCGTAAAATGCATTCGTTTTGAATAAACCAGTTTAAATGTCGTACAAAATTAGCATTCAATAATAAGGCATCTAAAAGAACAATAAAGTAACAGACAGAAAAAGTGTTTTTATCTCCTTCAGAACCGATGGAAGGAGAAAAAAAAGCGTTGTGGTCCAAAGAGTACTCATTGAAAGTATTGTATTGAGATCACTCCGTGTGATCTTGTGCCGCTAGAGTCGGAAAGGCTCGTTTCATATATGATACCGTGGGCCATAAAGCGAGAATCGGGTGATCACGGCCCTGAAGGCGTAAATAAAAATAATAATAACTTTGTATAATTTGATGCTTCTGCCTTATTGCTTCAAATAGTATGCACATTTTAATGGATTTACCACTGTAGTAAAATTTTTACTATAGGGGAACACCATACCTCCCAAATTGTTTTTCGTCACTAATATGACTTTTTATCGGGAAACTACAAAATTTTGTCTAAAACATTACAGGAGAAAGAGTATTGATTTTTATGCGACATTTTCTTTATAATTCCGCAATAAATCTTGAAACTTTGCAGCTAAAAGAAAGTGTTTAAATTAGGCAGCCGCAGAATAAAAGTTTAAGTTAAAAAATTGTATTTAAATTATATTATTAAATTAATTAGATAACACATAACATGGTAATATGATTAACACTTTGATGCAGAAACTTTTATTGAACATAATTTCTATTATTTTGTATTAATTTCGGTTAAAATAAGTAAAAAAATATTGTATTTAGTGTTTTAATAATTTATGGTTATAAAATACAACGTGAAACACGGGTGCCCTTTCTTGCGTTAAAGGTAAAATCTTGCAAACACTTCTCACTTCTAAATAATACTTTTTCAACTTTGCACTTATTTAAATTCTTTGAGAGACAGTTATTCATTATTGAAATTTAATTAATTTACAAAATGAATTATTGAACATTTTTTAATATTAAGGAAAAAAAAATTCTTACGACTTCTTTTGGATTTTATATTTTAGTACAAATACAATTCTGATAATATAACAGATTCTTTTTACTTACTATTAGACTGTTTTTTATAATTAAAAAATACTAACTTATTGCATGTAATTAGAGCGTCAGAAAAAATATATAAAAAGTTGCGTCATAAGTTTTATAAGCTTTGTCAAATAAACAAGTACCATTACTTTTTCCTCAGATTTTTTCTTCTTCCACAAATTTAAACCCCCATCTCCAAAAAGAGTGTAAAAAAATAGATCACATGACATAAAAAGCAATTTACTTGCAAATAAATTGATAATAACAATCTGGTAAATCATCGATTTTATTTTATTAGTAAAAAGAAAATTTTCTCTCCTTTCTATGAATGCATCCCGCAAAAGCAAAATCTAGAAATTTTTGTTCCTAATTTCAAGAAGCGCACCAGCTTTAATTGCATAGTTTTTAATTAAATTTTTTCCCAGTTTCATCAATCATCGTGTCCAATTTTTTACAATTTCTCATTTGTTTGTACCTGAGAAAGTGAATTCAAATATCTAATTCACACCATTTGTCTGCTCAAAAACTTTCATTCTTCAACCCGCTTTGCTGGGCTTGCACAAAGACGCACAGTTTTCCATCAAAGTTGTAATTGATGAGTCACAAGCATGTCTGGTGAAAGAAAAAAGAAGAACACATTAAATGTACAGAGTTAAAAAAAAGTGCATTTTCAGGGATTAAGAACGGAGAACAAAAAAAGGCGCCAAACTCCTTCGGCTGTTTTAATCCTTGAAAATAAGAGTGGCCACGGTATTTCAATCACAGTCGAATATGCAGCAACGCCCCCAAAGCCCCCTGTTTACAGGGCAGAGCCATTTTTAGTCCCCAACTAAAATCCTCAAAATAGCTAGCAGTCTCCAGAAAGTCATGTGACAAACATCGCATTTTAAAGCACGGCATTGCTGGCTACTGTCTTTCGTCGAACGATCTTTCACTACCGACAAAACATTTCACAGCTATCTTCACACTGAGAAGATACTTTACGAACGCCTCAGCTGTCATACTAATCAGCTTTAAGTTACTTTTTTTAAAATTAAATGTAAACTAATATCTCCAGTACAGTTAGATTTATTTATTTTTTTGACTTCTAGAACTTTTCCCTTCTGTTTAAAGTAAGTGAAGTTCTGTATTCCTATCGTGTTATGCATTAATATTAAACCTAAAATATTTAGCAGATAAAAAAAAAATTATTTCTGTTACCTGTTAATTGACAAAATGCAAATTAAATAGTTGAGTGTTTAGTTGGACCTGGTCATAGATATATTTCTATTGAATTTCAGCAAATTTTCAGCAAATAAACACTAAAAAATAGCAAATGCACAATTGTTTCAAGGAACTTTCGGAATTCAGTAAAAATATTACTTGATGGTATTTTTTTATTAAATTGATGAAATATACATTACACTATTTCGTATAAAGTATACACTTTTTCGGGTCTTGTACCTTTATAGCTTTAAATACCCAATAAATTCAATCAACGTATAAATAATAGTGAGATTACCCCATACAAAGATTCTCTATGACAATTAAATTTCTGAACTTCATTCATCATCTTCTAAAAACGCGTGAAGTAAATTTATGAAACCAGTAAACATATAAATATTGCATTGACATAAGACACGTTTAGTTTGGAATCCAATTTTACTCAATTGACTGTTGTTTCCAATTTAAAATATTCACATTTTTCGCAAGATTATTGATACATGTTTTTCAATCTCTTGGAGGATTCCGATTTACTGTTTTTATTATTACTTTTTTAAAATTTGTTTTAACTTTCTATCACATTTAAAATTTTCATTCAATATTTCAAAACAAAATAAAAAAGACAAGATTTTAATTTTTATAAAATGGTTCAAATATAGTTTTTTTAAAAAATTATTTTCGCGATCACTAGAATACCTTTAAATACATCCACACGAATTTTATTAAATTTGATAGTTTGGGAATTTTCATGACGGCGTTTCAAAATGATTTCTTATAATTTTCAGCAAAAAAAATTTCTACAAGGGGATTCTGATTTGAGCGAAGAATAATACTTCCACAAGCTACCCTGTTTTTTGTTTGAGATTATAACATTAAAATAAAATAAAAAAATTAATTTATTCCATTCTGTTTAATAATTTATTTAATGCCAACTTACAAATAATGCCATAATATAATATAATGCCAAAAACTGAATATTTAGTTAAATTTATAAATTTTATTAAAAAGAATTAATTTGGTATTTGATTTAATTTTAATGTTAAGTTTTTATTTAATGTTAGTTTTTATTTCATGCTATTAAATAAAAACGCGTTTGTATTTAAATCTTATATCGATATTCAACTAAATTATTATCGTTTTCCTTTTTCATCATCATTCTAAAAAATATATTCATTCTTTTTAATAATTTATTTAATGTCCACAGAGCTAAAACTGATTTTTAATTAAATTTTTATAAAAGATGTATTGATTCTTAGGATTTTTTTAAAAAAGAAATTCTAATGCTGAGTATTCAATAAAAAAACTTTGTACTTTTTTTGTAGATTTATTCAATTTAATTATTATCGTTTTCTTTTTTCATCAGAAAAAATCCATTTATCCACTGAAATGCGGAAAATATGCATTTTTCTTTTTTCAGGAGTGGGAAGGGGGGGGTTAAAAGTCAAATAACAAAGTGTGCATTCAAAATCTTGGCTTTTAATAGCTACTTATCAAACTATAGAAATTAAAGATATTTAATTATGATATTTTCAAAGAATACATACAGCAATTTTGCGTTCAACTTTCTAATTATGACGTCTTGATTTGTATGATTAATAGATTTTGTGTAACAAAAGAACTTTCCTTACGAAATACAAAACATAACTAGATAGGTATGGTTATAGATTTTTCTAAACTCCCATCGCTTTTGTCTCATAACTTGTTTCCTTTTCATGTTTCCTTTTTATTTTTGTAGTCATTTCTTTTGAAAATCATTTCAGTATTCTCTTTTACCACTTGTTTTAGTTAAGGTCATTCCTCTGAAAACATAGCCTTGTTAATGAAGAAATAAATTCATCTTCAATAGCCTTTATTTTTCTTGTTTGAAGGTAAACCTGAGCTTGAAATTGAGTATTGAAACGGCACTTAAATCAGTTTACTAAAAAGGAAATTTATGCTTTTACTTGTAAGTCAAAGCAAAAGAAATAACATAGTATTGAACATACAAAATAACTTTTTATTTATTTGAAACAATTTTTACAAAAAATTATATTTCATACATTTCATTTATATATTTTTAATTTTCTTATAGTTCAAATACATTTCATTTATATATTTCTTCAAAAAATATATTTTGTTCTCACATAAAGTGTATGTTGAATACAGTCATATGAGTGTAAACAGGCCTAGTTAATAAATTACAGCTAATTAACAATTAATTAATATAAAAGTTAATTATTAGTTAAGATTTTAAAAAAAGGAGAGTCTCTAATTTTTTATTTTGTGGTAGATTTTATTACGAATGAAGTTTAAATGTTAACAATTTATTAATGGTATGGTTATGGAATGTTATGGCATTATTATACATATTGGTATGATTATATATTGTATTTTATTTAATCAAAGTTCTTTTAAAATATAATGTGCAACTCTTAATATTGTACCCCTAATCAGATTACTCTAAATCTTGTAATTTTTTTTTCTTCCTATAAACTCTGGGACTAGTTTTTAGAAAAGACTCTTTAAGGAAAACTAATTTGTTTTTGCCTAACATGAAGAGAAAAATTCCTCGAAACCTGTCCGAGATTAACCCATCGGAGGTGGGACTCTCACTGTGAACCCTTAATAGATAACCATTTTATGTGATCCCTGCGTTACTTTTTGTATTCCAACTAAACTGCTTCTTTATAGAATTCAAATTCTGTGTACTTGTTTCTGAAAAGAGAACTTATCGTAGTTTAGTAGAAAATTGGATTTCAAAAATTAAGGACTTTTAACTTGCGTATAAATAATTTTTGAAATGAAAAAAAAGCATTAATTTTGTATAGTGGTACATTTTGAGCGAACTTATTAAATTAGGGATTTGCAATCTTTGTAACATAGGTTTTTTTTAAAATTTTATTTATTATTGTATAATTTAATTAATATAAATGTGCAATGGTACAGTGCGCAAAAAACAAAAGATGGAACACCCTGATTATCTTTTGATCTAATGATCGGAATTTCATGTACTAGGACTCAATCTTAATGGTTCACCCATTAATGGGGTGACCCCAAATATGCTACATAATTAGTCCAGCCGATATTTTACGTTACAGTGCACTTTCTCTGAGTAAAAATACTTCTTTTTGGACGGATTTGAGTTTCTTTCCCTGAAAATAGGAGGCATAAACGGGAAAATAGGGTTCCAATAGTTTAGTCAGAAGAGCGGTCAAAAGTATGAATACCTTAATATAAATTTTACATTTTGAGTGTTTTTCCATATCTCAAGAACTTTTTATATTTTTTGCAAAGCTATGAAATTTATTTATCCAAATAAAAATTCATGCAAAATATAATGTTTTTTTCTATTTTTTGTAATTTTATTTAATAATAGTAAATTTTTGAATTGTAAGGTATACAGATTTTTTCATCATTTTGACGAATGTAATTTTATATGGCAAAATAAAACTCTTACGGATTTGGTCAAATAGTTGCCGAGAAATCGAATTTTAAATATACTAAATTTTTTAAAATTCGATTTCTTTGAAACTATTCGACTTTTTAGTTCAAATTGTTTATTTTACCTTACATACATACTAAATGAAATACAACATATTTTCTTTTTAAATAAACAAGTTTAGTTTAAATAAACAAATAATTTTGGTTTAAATAAAATAAGGATTTTTATTGACAGTTTTTTTTCAAAATTAATTAAGCTTTTAGTTACACTATACAACTCAAAAATAGACAGTAAGCAACACAACAATAAACCTCTTTAGCAAAAATAGGTTATAACCCAATCACCTTCCTTCTTATTATTATATCAGATATTTTACGAATTTTATTTGTTGCTATTGTAAATCATTATTTAAACATTGTGAAAACAAATCCTGAAAATCTAACGAAATATTTACTTAATTCATAACGGAAATGCACTTGTTTTAAATTTTTATTTCAAAATAGACACTTTTTAGTAATGCATATCTAGAACACAAAAATTAAACAAATTAATCATTTTCTGTTTTCGATATTGTTGTTCGAATGTTAAAAGACCGGATTTCCAATGCAAAAGAAAAAACTGAAAATTAAGTAAATGCTATTTTTTATATGGGAAAATGAATAGGAAATAGAATAAGCATATGTTTATTTGTTTATTCAATACTACCCAGTTAGTTTGATAAACCAGATGGATCTAACTCAAATTAATCGCCTAAAGTGGTTTAGTTAAAAAAAAAAAATTTAAAATAGTAACAGTTTTTTCTATTGTATAATCACCAGATGGCAATTTATAAAAACCAGTTTATTAAATAAGCGTTATTCATCTTTAACAGTCAAACATATACACATTTTAGGCTAAAATATTCGTTCGTGATTTTCTCCTTCTAGGAGGTAATTATTTCAATGAGATAAAAATTATAGAAATATATGGCAATGATGACCTCTGAGGAACACCCTTTATTGAATAAAGTATGCATACTAATAGGCTACTATAATCCTTGCGTGCTCCGCTCGCCAACCACCGTTATATTTTTTTCTCAAGCGTCAATATTTTGCACAAAAATTCAAATAATTTTGTCTTAAAAATGCACCATTAATGCAGCTTTATGTACGAATATATTTTCGCAACGCAATAGAAAAGCATTTAGATTTGAAAAATAATCATCTGTACTTGAAAAAAAAATAACCTAAGGAATACAGATAGTAGGACTCAATAGGGAGAAATATATGAGGTAATTTTTCTTTTTGACAAGACTTGTAAAAAGTAAGGGATGGTTTTAATCGCTGTTAATTAAGTTTCGTTTTTTTAAATTTCAATATGAATGTTAAGATTTGTATTGAACAATATATGAACTTTCTCTGTCTCCCGCTTTTTTATTTTTATTTATTTATTTATTTTGCTGCTTTCGATTGGCATCTTCAGTGTGAGCTTATAATATAAAGAAATAAA